ATTGATTTATAAAATACATTCATTTGTCACAATTATTGGTGGTCTTTATTTTAGAGCTCCTGTCTCTACAACAATATATTTGTGTTCATTTGTCTGCTGGTCATCGGAGGGATTGTATTGAGCTCTGTATATGAAGCGGACGCTGAGAACTGGACTTCAGGGCCCGGATTCTTCCCAAATGGGATCGTTGGCGTGAGTCAATTATTTATGCATATTTTGTCTCACTTTTTTTAAAACTATAGCTTAATCTAATTGGTAATTATAGTATTTTTATAAAGAAATATTTTCTTTTATTAATTTACTTTGTTTAAAAGGAGGATAATTTTTTATATTCATGATACACATTTTTTATAAGTTAAATAAATATATAATATTGCTCATCTGTAATACTTTATATTTGTTTATAGTCAAACCATTAAGGAATAGATTACCTTGCCTAACATTTCTAACAATTTACCTTTTCTTGATCACTTTTATTAATAATTAATAAATAACTACAGTACAACATTGCTATAAAACTCATAGTTGTCTTATAGTTAAGGTGTAATTTAACTTCAATTAATGTAAATTAAAAAACTGATTTACTTTTTATTGATATCATTGAAAGCCATTTGGATATTAAATATTGTGATTTCATGGAACTATAGTTTCCAATGAAGTAATGGTGCTCTTAAGAAGATTATATATTATATAGGATTTTCAATTCACAGATATTTTCTGGTGCATCCATTTGCTTGTTTGCATTTATTGGANGGCAGCAAAAACTACTATATAAATACTGATCACTAGAATACGTGATGAGTAACTCAAACAACAATATTAATAATTTATCCATCATTTTAGTTGAGTTTATTAAATGTCAGAAATGAAAGCATATTTGTTATAATATTAAATAACATATTGTTTCTTCAAAACTGGCTTTGCTTTCAATACGTAGTATTCATCACATCTTATGGTCTTATTTTTGTGATCACTTTTAAACATTTTGAACACATTTTAGTTTGATATTTAGTTTTTATTAATTTTAAACCAAGGAATATAAACTAAATCAATTGAGATTATTTATAATACAGATAATATTATTTATTATTTCTATGAAATAATACAATTATAAATTATATCTGTATGTGATTAGTGTATAAATATGTAAAAATTATTTACTCTATAAACCTATAACAGAGACAGAATGTATAAACTTAAATAAATAATTAACTTATTGATTATTAAATTATATCATTATATAGAATGTATTGTCTTTTTAGTTTTTGCCAATTTTTATTTGATTTAATTTATTGTATGATTGAAATGTTTAAATAAAATGTCAAAATGTTCAGTTCTTATCAATGGATCAGTTTAGGAGCTGTCGTTTCATATCAGTCTCAATCTTTATCACTCATAATATTATAGTGACTAAAGAATCTAATAATGTATTAGAGGTTTGGATCATATTTTGTTAGATTTATAGGCTATAACTCTAGTTTCTAACTAAGAATATTATATAAATTAATTATATTTAGTTTTGATTATACTTTTTCAAATGAGACATTACTTTACCTTGAAATATAAGTTAAGAATAAAATTGTCATTGAATTTACTTTATTTGAATCTTTTTTAATAAATATCTATTTCATTAAAAAAAATACTTGAATTACAATACATGTTGTGTGAATTGTGAATAGTATTTTCTTAATTACATAAATTGAAATGAATTAATTGTGCGTTTAAATTGAATTGTAAAAAATAATAATTAAACCGAAGATCCGATGACTTCTATCTGATCGCAAGCATTGAGTTCGAGTCCGTCATCACTGGTTTCAATGAGAATCAATTCATTGATATTTTGTGAATCATGAGTTTGCGAGCCCTCCAGTGCTTCCAAACTTTGTGAGGCCTGTAAACCATTCCAAACCCCAAAACTCATGTATACGAATACTCCTGAAAGTCAAACATTTGCTTAGTTTGGCAGTTATCGACGTTTACTTTGATGTTCAAGTCAAGTCATTCTCACCAAAAAGAGTCCAAATGAGAAATGCCAACCAAGAAGTGTATTGTAAACATACTATCAGATGAATATCTAACCAAATGGAGCAAATTGGCAGCAAAGGCATGCACGGCATACCATAGCGAGACAGTGGTCGGTGTCGGGGCTGACGGACAATAATGATCACACAAATGCATATCATTACAAATAATAGAGTGGCCAACAGTTGAGTACACCATTGACTTCCATTTGGCAGTACATTAGGGATATGTACTGTTATTATGGCCATCGCTAACATAATTGCCATCATTACAAGTATCGTGACTATGGGTCCAAACAATGTATTGATATTATATAAAGTGATACAAAACAGTAAAGAATAATGAGGTTTATTAGTCCTAAACACTACATCTTTGTTACCCATAAACTTTAAATATTTTAATTAATTCACTTTTATAATTATTATTTTTCATAAACATTGTATAAATCATTAATTTCTCAATATTTTCTTATATTTCTGGAGTTTTTACTTATATTTAATCTATTGCATTATATAAAACAAAATCATACACTGATTCATTGATTCTTTTATAATTTAAATATTAGATAAGTATAAATCTAAATATTGTAAGATATTATCATATAAAATATAACTCACATATCCATTTTTACAGAATAAATATATTCTATTATCGGTAATATAAATATGCACTGTTATGTATGTTTATGATAATATGATTAAAAAGACTATAGTCTACGCCTAATATATGATTTACTTGAAATATTAAAATAAATAAACTACAGAATAGTATTGAAGAGTACCTGAAACGATGTTTTGTGTCTTTTGTGTGGGTTTTTGTGTTGTAGTAAATGAGAGATCAGAGAGGGATGTGATGAAGGATTGGTTGACAAACTCTACGGACATGGTTCGCCTCATTGCAGTTGATCCGTAATTTTGTGAACAATTCAAATGACTTTCTTTTTGATGGTCACAAATTAGTGGAGACTGAATGCAATTATTACAAAATGTTTTGTCTATTCCGTGTTCATTCAATCCTTGGGATATTAATTTATTTGTTTGATTTAGTCTATTATTGATGTAATAATCGCTAATAGATTGGCTTATATTATGAGAGTTATGTCTCATATCTGTTGAACTCGTATCTCTTGATAACATTTCTCTCCATTCAATGGGTAATCGTTCAGTCATTGAATACCTATTATATAATATTATATTGTTTAATAAAATTATAATTATATTATATAAAATAATAATTATGTTTTATCGAGTTATAATAAAATTTTAATTAAAACTTTTATCATAATGTTAATGATATCATTAATCAAATCACACAATTATCAGTTAATACTTACCGCAAAGAAATAATGCAAAGCGTTACCAACATATAGGACAGTATGGTTCCTAAAAACATACATACCATAATTAACTAGGGTGAATTGTGAAACTTATTGTCAATAATTGATTGAGTTCCTGATTGAATAGCTTTTAAAAAGAAATGTATTTGTGAAAATCATTACCTGTGCCCATAATATGCAATATAGTAGATGTTTGTAAGAAAAGACAAGTGAGAGCACAGAGTAAGGATGCAATAGTTGTGGCACTTGTTGTCACTCCTGTATTAAAATTATATTTAGACAGCAATGAGAAGAGTAAGCCATCGTTTGACAGATAAAACAATAAACGCGATAATGATAGTAGAGATGCAATGGTTGAGGCCATGAGTCCAGAAGTAGCGCCCAATATCACAAAATATTGCATTCCATCCAAACCTCTTGTGACAAATGCCTTCAAATCAGAGTAATTAAAATGTTGTATCAAATGGATCAGACGGGAGGGGCGGACAATACCTGAACGATGGGGGCGTATAAATCCAAGAGAGAGAAAGGCACTAATAATGTGATTGCAATGGAGACCGTGAAACACGTAATCAATGCCACCAAAAATGTTAGACTTATAGAAAATGCCATTTTAGAGGAGTTGACACACTCTGAAGAGAGTGATCCCATCATATCGTATCCAATAAATGCAAACAAGCAAATGGATGCACCAGAAAATATCTGTGAATTGAAAATCCTATATAATATATAATCTTCTTAAGAGCACCATTACTTCATTGGAAACTATAGTTCCATGAAATCACAACATTTAATATCCAAATGGGTTTCAATGATATCAATAAAAAGTAAATCAGTTTTTTAATTTACATTAATTGAAGTTAAATTACACCTTAACTCTAAGACAACTATGAGTTTTATAGCAATGTTGTACTGTAGTTATTTATTAATTATTAATAAAAGTGATCAAGAAAAGGTAAATTGTTAGAAATGTTAGGCAAGGTAATCTATTCCTTAAAGGTTTGACTATAAACAAATATAAAATATTACAGATGAGCAATATTATATTTTTATTTAACTTATAAAAAATGTGTATCATCAATATAAAAAATTATCCTCCTTTTAAACAAAGTAAATTAATAAAAGAAAATATTTCTTTATAAAAATACTATAATTACCAATTAGATTGAGCTATAGTTTAAACAAAAGTGAGAGAAAATATGCATAAATAGTTGACTCACGCCAACGATCCCATTTGGGAAGAATCCGGGCCCTGAAGTCCAGTTCTCAGCGTCCGCTTCATATGCAGAGCTCAATACAATCCCTCCGATGACCAGCAGACAAATGAACACAAATATATTGTTGTAGAGACAGGAGCTCTAAAATAAAGACCACCAATAATTGTGACAAATGAATGTATTTTATAAATCAATTATTACATCAATTATTAAATAAATAATTTTTAAAAATATATTACTTTTAAGTTTCGGTTTAATACGAATCCCAGTGTTAAGACAAGTAAAGCTGAGGGCACGTCAAGGAAAATGCTATCATTTGAATTGTATGTTAGCGATAATGTGAAAGCACTGCGAACTGTGCCATTGGACACACTATCCATGTATTGAATTAAAGTTTTAGCCGAAAGAGTGACCGCTAAATGGTATTCAAACAGAAGTGACCACCCGATCAAAAAGGCCGGCAATTCTCCCAGTGCTGTGTAGACATAACAGTAGGCCGATCCTCCNAGCTGCGAATTGTCGATAATTACGATATATTGACCACTCATTTGTTAACTCTTTTTAATATTGCTATTTCTATATAAGATGTAATGAACTGTATGTTTGACAAACAAATTTAATTTGCATTTAATCTCTAAAACATGAATCATAAACTTTAATAAATGACAAATATTTATCTTATATTCAAACAATGTTCTGATTGCTACTTAAGACAAATATATTAACTTTGTTTGATGTGACAAAAAAGAAGATTGTTTGAAATTTAATCACAATATTATTGTCGTACTATCAAAAGTTTGTGTCAAACAATACAACGTTTGCAACTTAAATATAATTAATATTTGAAGGCAACATTTCATACAATCAAACAATACTTTGAACTATTGTTTTGATGTTTTTATGAAGAAAATGTGATTTTTTTGATTATAGTTTGATGTGTTGATGCATTTTTAAAGTCATAAATGATTCATAACTGTATGTCAGGCAAGGAATTACAGTAATGGTCGACACGTTTTCAGGTGTTCTTAAAATTCTTTTGCGGCGAAAGATATCATTTCCACCCGGAGTTGGAAAACATATATTTCAAAGATGTTTATCTGTCATCGATATTACATGTCTGGGTATGTCCTGCCATTTGAATCTATTTTTAAAAATATATTTTTCCATTAGTTTGCTTTTATTTTGAAACTATTATAACAATATCTTTTCTTATTTTTGTGCTTGTCTAAATAAATATTTTAACTTAATTAGAATTTAAAAATATGGACAAATAATTTTAATAAATTTGGTAAAAATATGAATACTAACGAAAACCAATTGTATTTCCATGATTACATTTACATAATTTATTTAAATTTAGAAATTGAATTTTTATGTTTTATTAAAATGTTATCAAAATATTTTGTAAATTTGGGAAATATTAAAGTTATTAACTTTTATCATGTTGTTTAATATTTTACTAGAATTAAATATAATGTTTCATAAAAGTTGTCAAAAAAATAATATTTTATGAGTGGAAGAAAACACTTTTTCAGTAATTTATTTACTTTCAAGCCATTTTAATTATTAGAATATTTACAAATTTTGTATTTATTTTTTATTTAGCTTGTTATGTAAGATAAATTTATTAATGTATTAATAATTGAATCGGTGTAACAGATTATTATCCAGTTCACTTGAACAATTCTAAAACAATTTAATTTTGACATAACCAGTGAGCATTACAGTGAAGTAACATTACGGGCACAGATTTTGATACAAACAGAATGTGATTTGTATGGCAAACTCATCTGTTTTATGGCATAACAAACCATTTATTGAAAACATTAGACAAAATACGTGCAAACCATGACAAATTAATCAGTTTGTCAAACTTTTAATAGTTATTATTTGATAATATTTTTCAAATGTAAATGGTTCTAAACTGTTAAAGTATAGTTTTTAAAATGTTATAGAAACTTCTATCATATTGTAAAACATGATAGAAAATGGATTTTTAATTTGAAAATAATCTTTGTTTAGTTTAATTTAGATTAAAGTAATTTATTTTAAGAATTTAATTTTTAATAGCTCAATTCAAATATAAAATAGTTATTTTTATTTAAAATATGTTAAATTAAAATTTTCTTTTGTTATCGATCATTTTATAAATTATTAAATCACAATGTTAAACAAATTTCTGTACTAAATAAACTACCGATACTTAAAATGATGCTTATATATTAGTTGTTAGTATACAATTTCAGTATAGATAAACAAAAATAATCTCTGATAACTATATATTAGAGCATTGTTGTAAATTTTATAAATCTGTGAATAGGATTGTAACACTATATAATTACTAGTGTATTATTACCCTGTAGAATTACTAGTGTTGAAAAACTCGTGTGGGGCGTGAAATATATTGTGGGCTTTAATGGACAACTAATGTCCGATTGAAAGCATCGTATAATGTGTTTCAAATGAGAAACGAATGGGAATTATTGTCCGAAGAAGTGCTTATTTTATATATCAAAGTAAGAACTTGAATGAAACATTTGGTGGACAGTTGGCTTATTTCTTATAGATAAGTGCAACTCTGCTATTATATACGTCTTATGTCTTTCAATAGATGCAAACCTTGTAATCAAGTGAGAGGTTGACGAAAGACATAAATAGGTTTTAGATAAGACTTAACTTGTGCTGACTTTAACTCTAATATTTTCTCTACACTGCTGTATGCGTTAATGCAATCAAATATTGAGTTTACTTATCAGACTAATTCAATATTTTATTAGATTTCTTATAAATAAATAATACTTTCTTACAAATCCTGTTAACGTTTTAATTAAAACAAACTTTATATTAATTATTAATTTAATTAATTAAACAGTATTAAATTTAATAAAATATTGATTCAATTTTGTATGAATTCATCCATTTTACTAACTCCCAAATATGTCTACAATACAAGTAAATTCAATATAATTATAATTATTTATCTATCGATTATAATATACTTTAATAGTTATAATTCATAACTTATAAATTTCTATCTCAGTTAAACTTGATCTAATTAAAAAAATTTATTTTACTTACATTTCTTGATAATAGGCTTATCGACAGTAATAGGAACTGGAGTTTTTGCTATCCTCGCATTTGCTGCCCGAGAATACAGCGGTCCTTCAGTTGTGTTAAGTTTTCTCATATGTTCGGTGGCCTCATGTTTGGCAGGTATCACATGCTCTACACTTTCATCACTCATTTGATTTCTTAACAGATTTCTTAGCTTCAATTTATCAAATATTAAATAACTTAAACTAAATGAAAAACATTGTGTCTTTCTATTTGAACCCAAAAGGTCTGTGTTATGCTGAGCTATGCACTCGGTTTCCAAGTGGAGGATCGGCCTACTGTTATGTCTACACAGCACTGGGAGAATTGCCGGCCTTTTTGATCGGGTGGTCACTTCTGTTTGAATACCATTTAGCGGTCACTCTTTCGGCTAAAACTTTAATTCAATACA